TAAAATAATATAATATAATATAATATAGGGCAACACGGCAATCAGGTCTCTGGTTCGAGCCCCGACTGGGTCATTTGGCGTTTGCATGTTCTCCCCGTGTTAGCATGGGTTTCCACCGGGTGCTCCGGTTTCCCCCACAGTCCAAACACATGCGCTACATGTAGACTAAATGAACTAAATTGGCTGTAGTGTATGTGTGTGAATAAGTGAGTATGTGTGCTTCCCCGTACTGGCTTGCAGCTAGAAAGGCATCCGCTGTATAAATCAAATGGTGGATTAGTTAGCGATTCATTGCGCTGTGGAGACCCCTGATGAATATAGGGACTAAACCGAAAAGAAAATAAATGACAAATATTATATTTAAAATACTTAATAAATAGTCAGCCAGTTATTATCACGTCAGTAAGTCATCATTTTACTTGTAAGTTTAATAAACAAAGTAAAAAATGTATACAAAAAAGAAAAGTCAGATAAAAAATAATAATGCCACTGGACAGTTATTTATAAAATCAATTAAAATAATATTCTATGTACGCTATATTAGCTTGCACTAGTCTTGTACTACAAGACATGCTGGTCTTACACCATAATGACTCTCAGTCAGTTTTGCGCTGGGTTAGTTGTCCTCCAGCTGGAAGCGTTTCTTCATCATCTTCAGTAAACACACACCTGGAGCTCGGCTTTACTCACTGATGTTTGCGATAAAGCGCCTCGGCGTGTTTGCTGAGATCTGAGCCAGACCTTCACTTTGTTCTCTCCTACATCAAACGCTCTGCTCTGCTTCAGCAACAAGGCCTGACAAGCTCATAAAAGTTACATTTGCAGAGGAAAGGCACAGGACACGAATAATATGCACAGGCTCTGTTCACAGCACACGGTATTTAAACAGGAGAGCGGCTCAAGTCAAACACACACACACGCCAACACTCTTCCTGTGAAAATGATCCTCAGACAGGAAGTAGAGCATTTCTGGATCACATTTCACACCAATTAAATCATTATAATAAAAATACCAGGACATTGAAGGTGTATGGAGCTGAATTATGCTGCTTTTGAAGCTGGTGCACCGATATATCGGCTAAAATCTAATCGGACTATAATGGTTTATCAGTTTATCCAGATTATTGGCCAATATATTTGTGAATATCAAGATTTATATCGGCCGATAACAATTATTGCGTGATGCCAATTATTGTCTGTTTTTGCTAATCTAAGATTAAATTTTGCGAAAAACTTTATCAGCTGATTATGATTATTGCTTTTATCTGTTAATAATACATATTATTGGCTGATAAATTTGAGCATATAGAAATATAAATTGGCCAATATTCAATATCGGCTGATAAAGAGTGTTGCTTTTATCGGTTGATACGGATTATTGGCCAGTATTTTTGTGTTTATCTTTGTTTAAATCGAGCAACAATCAGTATCGGCCGATTATGATTATTGGTTTTATCAGTTGATATAGATTATTGGCAATATATTTCTACATATCAAGATTTATATCTGCCGATAATGATTATTGCTTAATACTGATTATTGGCAAGTTTATTTTTGCTTATCTTAGATTAAATCTTGTTAAAAAAAAATGTGTTGGCAGATTATGATTATTGCTTTTATCTGTCGATTATTAGCTGATACACGTGTGCATATCAATATATAAATTGGCCAATAATCAATATCGGCTGATAAGGAGTGTTGCTTTATATCAGTTGATACTAATTATTGGCTGATATTTTTCTGCTTATCTTGGTTTAAATCGGGCAACAAGTAGTTTTGACTGATTATGGTTATTGCTTTAATTGGTTGATAACGATTATTGGCAGATATACCATTACTTTGCTTTCAACTCACACACCACTATCACTATTATAACAAAACATTCAAGGGCAGAAACAACTCTCAATGACATCAAAAGACTTCATAATAATCAGTATTGGCTGGTAATGCATGGTGGCCAAGGAAACACCTGACACAATATTATATTTCAGGAATTAAACTGTATATAATATACATCAATTTTAAATATTTGAGATACTATATGTCAATTTTGTATGTATCCCACCTGTTTTATTTTCTAATAGTATTGTGTAAAAAGCAATAGAATATTACTACCAGATCCCTACAACAAAATTATGAAAACAATAAGTCACAAAAGGCTTAATAAATAAAAAACAGAAAACATTTTCTTCCATCTGTCTGCTAATATGACTCCACATCCCTACAGACTACATTTTATTGGCTGGCAACGGATTTATCGCTGCCAGCATGATGGTTTAGCTTTTTTAAAATCCGTTTTAGTCCTCAAGGTCCACCATGCCATTGACAAGCCATCATGCATCATGATGTTGGATCGGGTCTAAAGCTCTTTAACTTGGGTTTGTTAGATTGGCGGGGGGTAAGATCACATTCCTCTGATGATCAGTTAAGTGACCTACTCGACAGAGTACGAGACATGGAGCAACGCCATCGATGATTGCTGTCATTATAATCTAGTACTACAGAAAATGAGGCTAATGTGAGTGTCAATCTGCTAAATAAGTCCAGCGGGCTCAAAAGCACAGCTGGAGATCTGGATCGGGGCTGAAGGGACTGGTAATATAGAGTCTTGACCTTTCAGAAAGCTTTTGTTGATGATCAGATCCTCATAAATCATACAAAAATCCTGTCAATCATTAGGAAATGAAACATAAAACTTCAAGTTGAGGACAAAATGATTAGCCCTCCTGTGGCATTATTATTTTTCTAATATTTTCAAAGTGATATTTAACTAGGAAGGAAAGAAATAGCAAGCTTGGGTTAAAAAAGAAAATAATAAAAACATGTAAAAATGGCTAGGGTCAATATTATTAGCCCCTTTAAGATTTTTTGTATTTGCCCCGGTTGGCTACAGAACAAACCTGTCGTGATCACCAGAGGTCTAATCCTTGCAGATTGCTGGAGAACTACAATTCTTTCCCTTTATGAACTACATATCCTGTCATTCACCTCACACACACCTGTTCCGGTTCTCCAATGATTACACACACAGCTGGAAGCTGATCAAGGACTCATTACACAGAATATAGAATTTGTTCACATTGCCTCACTCGATGCCAAGTCTTGTTTTTGTACACTGCAAAGCGTTTTCCTTATTTCCCCATGGTGTGTTTCCTGACCCTTACTTTGTTTATTGTTTCTTGTTGTTAGCCGCCTGGACCGACTTCTTTGCCTGTGTACTGACTACTCTTTTGGATTGCTCTTTATGTTCTCGTTTGCTCCAGTAATTGTCCATTGCCTGCCTGATTACTCCTGTAATAAAGACGCTGCATTTGGATCCTCAAGTCTGTTGTCAGAGCCACGTATGTAACAAAACCACTGTAGTCCAATGACTTAACTTAACTTTGCCTAATTAACATAATTAAGCCTTTAAATGTCACTTTAAGCTGAAAACTATCTAACTATCTAAAAATCTTTCTACATAGCAAAAAAAAAAAAAAAAAAAAATCAGCAATTATAAATTCGATTATTAGGATTATATGCAGGAGGGTTAATCATTTTAGTTCAACTGTACATACAGAGGTTGTATCTTTATGTGCATATCTCTTTTTATAACTAATATATATATATATATATATATATATATATATATATATATATATATATATATATATATATATATATTTATATATATAT